TGTTCAACATGAACAAGCTGCTCCGTCGCCCTCCATGACTGAGTATGTTCCCACCGAACCTCAAGACGATGGCCATGAGCACCTCAGGAATGAGATTGAAAAGGATGAAGATGTTACCTGGTATGAGCAGGTCGCACCGAATGTCTTGCTCGTCCGGACCGACAACCAGCTGAATCTGAACTATGTCCTCCGTAGGCCGAGCCATGTCGCACGCAGCCCCCAGATCGAGCCCTACAAGTGTCGCTCGACGAATTTCTTCGTGTGGATGTTTCTCGTCCTGCTGATGCCTCAGCTGGCGATGGGCAATGAAGGAGAGGAAGAAGGAAAAGAAGCTGATTTGTTTGGCACCCTGCTGATGACCATCACCCTCATCCTGCTGAGCACCGCCTTCATTTTGGGCCGACGATCTATGAGCTGGTTTGTAGCAGCGCCTCCACTACGGATTGATGCTGAAGTTCAGAAGCATGAACCGTGGTTCATTCAAGACTACGGGAAGAGCTGGCAAAATACAAAGAGGAGGTCATGCTTTGGCGCAACCGTGCGCCTGAACACCACGCCGGTGCCACAGAGAGCCGCCGTGCCATTGACTTGGCCCTGGCAGCGCGTCAAGGTGCGATTGGCCTCAACCATGAAGCCGCTGACATCATGCGCCAACGCCTGCGCCAAATGGATGAACACTCGAACAAATGCCCCTTCTACCAGCAGATTGTGACAGCCCGACATGGGCTGAAATGGCATGCCTCCACCCGATGCGCTTCTTTGGTAGGTCGTAGCACTCACTCCCTGCCAATTGTGCTGTGGCCAGAGGATTTTGCCTCCCGATCTTCCTGATCGACGATGGAGCGCAACTGTTAGGATCCGAGTGCATGCGTGGCTCGGCCACTACGATGGTCTGACGGCGGCGCCTGAAAGCTCTCCCTCCGTGTCAAGTGTTCGCTGAACACTTCATGTGAGCCACGACATGTCATGCTTTTCCCAAGCTTTGAACCCCGCACCACGTCCTCTCAAGAAGGGAGGGCAACTTGGCCTGAAAAGGTCGCGGCCGCTGACCGTTCATTCGGTCATTTCGATTTGACTTCGCCTCGAACTTCGTGCGTCGAGCTTGAGTTCTTCACAAACGGTTATATTCTGCACTTTGTGTAGGGATACCTATCAAAAAGAAAATTGATTCCGATCAAAAAAATCAAAAATAAAATTCCCCCTACTCCTTTGGCCCTGGTCTGCTGGTTCCCTGTCGCTTGGTCCTTTGGTCCCTTTGTCCTGGTCCCTTCGTCCCCTGGTCCCTTGGTCCCTTGGTCCTCTGGTCCCTTGGTCCTCTGCTCCCTTGGTCCTCTGGTCCTTTGGTCCTCTGGTCCTTTGGTCTTTCGTCCTGGTCTTTTCGAGGCAAGACGCGTTAAAGGTGATTTGGAAATCTGGTCATACATCCTGTGAAGCACCGTAGCAGACCTTTTATCGCCAGACGTAGCAGACCTTTTTTGTGAGCCACCCTGACGGTAAAATTTAGACGAAGAAAGTGCCATTCCAAGGTAGCAAACCTTTTGTGAGCCACCTGAGGGCAAAATTTTGAAGAGGAAGGAGCCATTCCAACGTTGCACACCTTTTGTTAGCCTTGCGAGGTTAAAACTTAGAGGAAGAAGTTGCCATTCCAACGTAGCAGGCCTTTGTTTTGTGAGCAACCCGAGGGTGGAACTTGACTTTCCACGTAGCAGACCTTTTGTGAGCCACCCGGGGATAAACTTTAGGTGCCACGCCAAGGTAGCAGACCTTTTGTGAGCAAAATTTAGAGGAGCAGTAGACCTTTTGTGAGCCATGCGAGGGCAAATTTACAGGAGCAGACCTGTTGTCAGCATAAACTTTAGAGGAGGAAGGTGCCATTCCAACATAGCAGACCTTTTGTGGTTTTGTGAGCCATCGTGAAATTCAGAGAGATCACGGTTGAGATGCAGAGAAGTCTACATCTACAGAGATCCAGAGGCCCGGAGATCCAGACGGATCTGCCGGTGTAGAGGTCTAGAAACCCACAGATTTAGAGGTCTCGAGTCTTGAGATCCAGGGAGGTGTTGAAATCTAAGTTCTAGGGTGTAGAAAGATGTTCAGATCCAGAGATATCAAGAGCTCTTGTCACAAGGTCTTCAGATCCACAGAATTTTACAAACTGCACTGCAAGGTTCGCAATCCCTGCGCTTGCCACGAAGTCTGTGCTTATAGACAGAGGTTCACGCAATCTACACTTCAAGGTTCACGAAGTGCTGCGCCTGCCATGAAATCTGCAGTTCCAGTATGTTCCAGTGAACAAAGTGCTGCGCCTGCCACGGGCCCTGCAACTGAAGGTGCTCAAAGTGCTGCGTGCAAAGTGCCGCTCCTGCCACGAAGCCTGCTACTGGAGGTGCTCACGAAATCTGCACTTCCAATGCACAAAGTGCCGCTCCTGCCACGAAACCTGCTACTGGAGGTGCTCAAAGTGCTGCGCCTGCCACGAAATCTGCAGTTCCAGTGCACAAAGTGCCGCTCCTGCCACGAAATCTGCTACTGGAGGTGCTCAAAGTGCTGCGCCCGCCACGAAATCTGCAGTTCCAGTGCACAAAGTGCTGCTCCTGCCACGAAATCTGTTATTGGAGATGCTTAAAGTGCTGCGCGCGCCACGAAATCTGCACATCCAGATTCACATCGCGCAGCGCTACCAAGGCGGTTTGCAGTGGCAGGCGCAGCTCTTTGTGAGAGATATTTTGTTTTTGATACAAATTAGTTTTCTTTTTGATCGGATATAGAATTTTGTTTTTTGATATATGTTAATTTTCTTTTTGATAGCCCGGCCCTTTGTGTAGGGCTTAGGCTTCGTATTGACATCGTCACGGAATAAGCCACCGCGAGTTTGCCCTCTTCTGTCCGCTCCAATTTGGCTTACCTACTAATGCTTGTTTACGTGGAGGTTATCACAGGCCCTTCCCACCCAACAGAGCTTTTGGGTATGGGTCAAAGCCTCAAGATATCACTTTTTTTCACGGTTTCTCGGTTACTTTGTTTCAAAGCTCCTGTCCTTAGGACACAGGGGCGAGGGTTTTGAATGTCAGCGCAACAAGCATTGAGAGGTTCATGCAGAGATCAAGGATGGCGGCAAGGCCTGATGATGGTCGAACAAGATGATTAATATTGATGAATGAACTCGAGACATTTGGAAACGTGCTGCTGGCAGTATTGCGTCCCCGAAAGACGATCCAGTTTCATCATCACTCAAGCAGCTACGCAAGAATTTTTTGGGTGGGTTGATGCGCGCACCTGGCTCCCTGAGGGGATGTCTGAGCGTCAACGAGAGCTCACGAGCTGGCAGCAGGCCATGCTTGCTGATGTCTTTTAGCAGTGTTTCTGTCAAGAGCAGTCACATAACTGCCAAACCGGAACGCTGCCAGAGTGATGTGGTGCCTCCTTTATTGGGCGTACTTTGCGGCATTGCCTGCATTGGCCTGTGCAGAAGGCCAAACGAGAGCGTCTCTTGAGAAGCAGTGCAAGCAATTCACATGCCATAGTCAATGGATTTGCATTTCTGAATCTGCACATGAGACGCCTTGTCCAGGATGCGGTTTTTCTCTACAGCTCCCAGGCATCAATCCATCACTCGAACAGCCAGCGCAGATGCTTAAGCAAGGATTCCAAAAGTGCCTGGAGGATTCATGAGATGCTTGCCATTCATTCAATGTCTTCGCAGCCCTTATTGAAACATGGACATCTTTTTACAATTCGCAGGATTTACTGACTGCACTCTTTTACACATCAACAGGTTCTGACGCGGCTGACGCGGCATATTCAAAACTTGGAACCAAACAGAGCCAAACATTACAGCTAAGATTATGTGATGAGCTGGAATTGTCCATCTGATGGGTTGTGCTCTCTCAGACTCAAAATGCTACGCAAAGACTGAATAGGATACCATGAAGGCGCTTCAAGAGAAAACCCGACGACTTAGTGTGACTTAAGCCATGAAAGCTTCATAGTCTTCATGAGTGACGGTGACTCGCCATGAAGCTATCTTTTTCTTTCTCCAAAAAGGCGAGCGACTCTTGTTGGGCTTTTGATTCCTGCTTTTGTGTTTTTGTATATTATACATGTGTTTTTTCTAATTCAACACGTTGCACGTTGGATCCATTGAGCACGTTGGCCGTTGGCATGCTTTTGTGTGTCAGAGGCAGAGCCAAAGAGGGTGGTGCCAGCTCTCTCAACCAAACCGAAGCCCGATGCTTTGCCGCATAAAAAGCACCTCAAGTGGGTCAGAAAGGCACCTTTGATCTCAAGCTGCACTTCCCAAGGATGAAGGGAAGGAAATCATCACCTCGCTCGAAGGGGGCGAAGTCAAGATTGATGGCCACTTGGCTGTGAGATAGAGCTCTATCACTAGTGACTATCCACATGATCTATATACTGTACATACTGTATATATATATAATATATATTATATACTCACACAGGAAACCGACAATTCTTGTGCCTCATTGAGGTGTGGCAGAGAGCGCAAAAGCATTCACAATACCTTGCAAGAATCCCTTGGAGGCCCATATACTTTGTACCGTTTGGCTGGTCGCTTATCCAATAATAACTGCCTTTGGCTTGGCAGATGCAGACGCAGAAGCTCCGCAACGAGCCAACCCCAGCAGCCAAGGCGAAGGTGCAAACCTTTGACACGAGACACAAGGGATGTCTTTCCCTTTAGTATGTGCACGGAACACAGATGATCAATCACTGACAATTTATCCTGAGTTCAACGCCCAGTTGCAATGTGCACAATGTACGTGATATCTTGCGACTTATATACAAATCCAGAGTCTATTTGTCCAATCAGCTACTCATGCATTTTCCTTTTCTATTAGAGTTGCAATCACAAACATCGAGGCGAGCGCCACACCTGAATCCATCAAAGATGGCCAGGCAAGTTCTACTCATTGGTCGGGTAAGTCATTTGTTCAGGGTGCACCGTGCCCTGGTGTAGATGCGTTGAAGACAGTTTTGAGATGCTTTGGGTGCGTGATGTTTTCAAGGGTGGCCTCGTTCTACCGAAACTTCAGCAGATCTCTGCAGAGGTTTCTTGCATGCAAATTGCATAATGATCTGACACCAAGAAAACACAACTCCACCTTCAAACAAGTTGGTCCACTCAATGTGCGACCAGACCACCGCGACTCTTCTAAGGATGCGGAAGCCATGAAAGAGCTGATGAAGGATGCCCAGGAAGGTACAGACCGGAACTCCGTCCCGGAGGCACTGGATATGCATGCCATCAAAGAAGACCTTTCCACGTTATGGCTTCAATGTTCCACTGTAAGAGCACTTGTGATGGAACCATTCAGAACGATTCTGCTTCTCGAAACATTTTGCCTATTAGACTGCCAAACTTTTGGTTTCTTGTTTTGTTCCGATACTAGCTGTCTATGTACCCATTCAAGAGTGTTCCGTAGCCCATTGTGTACGGAATCGAAGATATCCGGCCAGGTAGCACCAATCCTCATGCGGGAGACCTCTCGCAAGGCACGTGAGGGCGGTGCAGCAGATGTCTCCAAGGATGCTTACGAGCGAGTGCCTGTTGAGGCAGGGAGCGAATCGTTTGGACAGGGTAAGCCCTCAAGGTCGGGAGGTAAAAAGAGGCTGGTAGTAGCAACAGTATTATTATTCGTAGTAGCAGCAGCAGCAGCAGCTTTTGAGGGAAGCTTCTCCGCTTCTTCTGCGTAAGGTCGGGAGGAGCCCGCATGAAGAACCCTCGCTGTATGAAATGGTTCCTAGATTTTAAGGGGCATTATATAATATATATATATATGTATAACTCTTGACGGAAGTGTCAATCTTTCGGTTCACACCCAAACGGAAGAAGCTCGAAGGCCTTCGGTCTGGCACTGCTCCGCGGTATGGGTTATGACCCGGACAAGCACAAGACGAAGCCCATTTGGCATGAGAAGTTGGACACCTACAATGCCTACCGCGGAATGGTTGGATGATTTGCTCATGCCTCTGCGGTCTGAACTTCCGCAGTGCAGTGCCGCAAATGTTGTGCCAAGGCCGAGAGACAACCTGCTTGGCTTGGGCGCACAGCCCCTTTTGCCATCAGAGAAGATTCCCAAGCGAAAGGGTGAGAAAGGCGAGGAGAAAGAGAAGACTAGCAAGGCCTGGAAGACCTTCGCAGTAGGAGCAACTTCCCCGAAGCTAAACTCTAAGGTATTCTTAAGAACCCCTTAAAACTCAAAACTACACTTGAGGGAATAGACTTCACTACGCCCTCCTCCTGATTACGCCGACATTCTTAAATTGTGATTGGGGTTTCTCGTCTTTCGAGGAGCATCCTGAGAAGCGGCCGAGGGAGTCAAAGAGTTGACGCAATGCGGCAATGTGGCACTGCATCGCCGGGGACGTTTGCCACGCGCAATTGCGCCGCTTGGCACCGCTTTGCACCGTCTTGTGGTGGCGTTCTGAACGCAAAGCTTGCACGCCATGCTGCCGCCCTGCTGTCGCATGCTTGCATGCTTCGATGCTTGCATTCGTGGATTCATCAATTTGATCTTGTTTGTTTCCCACTGCGAGTCACGACACGCATGGGTGGCAGCAGTTCCCCAAATCAAGTGCGTGCTTCGGCTTTGCAGCTTCGAAGCACCAGCTGGTCTGGGAAAACATGTGCTGTCGGGCATTTCTGGGCAAAAAGCAGTAGACTTGAGCAAAATTGACAGCCAGACCCAGTGGAAACTTCGAGCCAGGTGGCTGCCAATTGTGCCAACGATTCCTTCTTACATGTATGGGTACCAGGTGCGCTTCTGGACATTTGAAGTCTGTGCTTTTGTTTCCGGTTTCTCCCATCGGATTCTGCTGCCCAGGTTCCTTACCATGCGCGGGAGACAGAGTACTTGATAGAGCCCCGGCTTAGGATCTTCAATGTGTATGGTGGGATGGGTGGGCATCGGGGGCGAAAGCAGCCACCAAGGAAATGATGAGAGAGGACAGCGCTTTGAATGATGCTACAGGGCAGTCTGCCCTGGCAGTCAGTAACGGGAATTGAAGCACTTTAAAATGTTCTAAAGCATTGAGACTTGCAAAGCTATCGTGATGGGAGCGGCTCCGTGGGTTTCTGTTGCATTCCCAGGACAGGAAGTTTGCCAGGCGCTTACGAGCGACATTTGAGGCCTCATGGGGAGTGAAGCTTGACACAACAACGAGCTCCCACAGTCTGAGGATTGTTGGCATTGTCCAGTGCCTACACAAAGAGAAATACCTTTTACTGACTCTCTGTTTTCTTACGCAGAACTTTTTCTAAAGACGTCCAAAGCCACCCCTGATTCAACAGGGATCAGACTGAAACAACAAAAGCAACAAACACCAAGACAGATATTTGCTTCCTCATGCCAGGCAAACTGCAATGATCCAGCCAACTCTGCAATACTTGAGGAGTTGGAGGCAGGAACGGAGTGACAACCATTGTTTGAACTGCAAAGCCCAGAGTGCCTTTTCCTAGTGTGGAGATTTTCAATTTGTGTGCAAAATGCACACATGGAGACTTCAATCCAGTTTTGCCTTCGGGATGTCTGGTGTTGACAGGGTTTCTATGGGCCACAGGCCAAAGTGTATGATGCGACCGTATTTGACCGTCCAAATTCCTTGCCACCTGCAGTCCGGCATCGACATTGAGTGACCATGGTTGAGTGAGGCAACCAAAAGGTAGACTCGTTGGACACATCAAGCCCGAGCTTGGATGATGTGACGGTATCCAAAGAGAGCCGTGGAGAGCGCGCGGTGTCACAAAATCAAAGGCCGCTGAGAATGACCTGCCGTATCGTGTTAAGAGAATTGAGAATTGGCATAATTGACATGCACAGTTGAAAGACAAGCCACAGCAAAATCCGACGCGCGAGCGAAACAATGCAAAATACCCAAATACCCAAAGAAGTGGCTGAGAAGCAGAGGTTGGAACAAGACGAAGGAAGGATTCAAGATGATTCAATGACTACTAGTAGCAAATAGCTACTAGTAGCATCCTTGCTCCTAGTCTTCAAGAGTCTCCAAAAGTCTCCGAGAGTCTGAGAGGCGTTTTGGCTGCTTCGAGACAAACAAAAATCCATTATGCCGAGAAGAGCTCCTCAAAGCTCCAATAAGCTCCATCACGTTCTGCTTCATCAAATGCAACGTCCGAGCCAGGATGTGCTGACCTACGAAGACTCTGTCCTGCTCCCTTTGTCAAGCAGTGCCAGAGTTGTGACGTTCCTAGCCATTTAAGACAATAGCAGCGAGTACAACATGCACGCAGGAGCCTGTTCCTGAGTGAATAGTCCTGTAATTTCTGATTGTCGACACGTCGGCTATGTCAGCGGAGAAGTGTGTGGTTAGACAAAGGCTCAGGTGGCTGAGTTCAGCCCAGGTGCTTTGAATCCAGGCACCTGTCGCGCTTCCACAGGCTGCGACTTCATTGCAGCCAGTTGTGAGCCTTCCTGACCATCACGGCTATGCACCCAGCACCACTCCCCCCGTTGAACATGTCTCACAGGGCTTGAGCAGTGTACCGTGTACCCCTGGATCTCTGCGCAGACTCTGCGCAATCAAAGGGCGCGCTCGTCATGAACGGCCCTACAGTGCTCGTTGGCCCCCAGCGGTGCTCTGGCTCGACATGCGCGCGTCCTCCAGAACGCTTGAGTTTGCTTGGAAGCGGCGGTAGGGGCTGCGGGCTGCACTAGTGCATCATAAATTTGACGACTGTCCCGACGCGAATGTAAAAAGCGAGAACGCTAGAGCAAGGGTTCCTAAAAGTTTCGCGCCTAATCATTGCAAAGGTCGCAGAGCAACGACGCGGTTTCGGCGATCGATTGAGGAAATACACCTACAGCATGAGTGAAACACAGCGTACACTCTGCGAATTGCAGATCACACCAATCCGCAATGGAAACTAACCAACCTGTTGAAAAGAAATGCCAATTCCCGAGCAGCTGTGCCATACATCAGGAGCCCGGGGTGGCGCACAGCAAGGCTGCCATCTAAAGACAGTAGCTTATGTAGCTTGACGGACCAATAAGCAATGGCAACGACAGCACGCGGAATATACTAACCGGCAAATGGGTGGACCTACAAGCAAGGGCAGCAAGGGCAATCCATTTGCAAATGCAAGTTCCATATTCCAAACACTTTTTGAGAAAACCAAAACACTGCTTTTGCCGACCAAAATCAAAGCAGCAACGGCAGATGTAAAAGGCGGCTAACCATTCTTTAACGGCCAATTACATACACGGGCCCAAAAGCAACATTAATGCAGGACGATTGGAATCAAAAGTAGTCAAAGCACAGCAGTGGGAGTGGCTGCACCCCAGCATCAAATGCATTATGCCAAATGGACATCGTTAACGATTTAAACTTAAACTTACTTTTGTCACTCTTGCCTCTTGCTTCCTTCTCTCAACCCCCTGCTCTGCACACCTCAGCTCTTCGGAATCCAGAAGCAGGTCCTGCACGCTTTCCACAGAGCTGCCCACACAGAGTGCATTCTGGGTCCAGAACACAGAACGGCTGAGAAAACTCTGTAATTCTACCTGTGCCGCATGCCAGACTCTGCAACCTAGGCGGCTGTCCATCCAGAGCGATCAAAGATAAATATTATCTAATATTGTTGGACATGTAGATGGCACTGTTTGTCCTCGACGAGATTTTTTGCTGGCTGGATGATTCCGTGGAAGTGGTTGCGCAAGAGAAGCTTTTGCCTCGTGCTCAAGGACTGAGGAAACGAAGCACTTCTTCACATACTTGGCGCGATCTGAGCTTTTCTGCCGCAAGGACCAAACTCTCCAAACAAGCACTGAGAGGCAATCTTTGATGTTCATGCATCATTGAAACAGTCCCAGAAGTGCTGCATGTATATAGAACTCTTGACAGTTAATTACCAAGCGGCTTTGACGAATTGGGCGTTTGAACAAACGATAAGTTACAGCCCACGCAAAATGCGAGTTTGCATCGGCCACAAAAGCGCTGACATAGGAAGTCCAAGCTTACTCAGTTCGATTAATAGTCGCTGAACTTTTTGGGGGTCATGGGCCAGGATGAGTTGAACATGTGCGGAGCCATCAACGCAGAGTCCAAAGCGCATCCAATTGCACGGCCTAGAGTGTATGTATGACCACGTCCTGGAAATCTTCGGCAGTCCCCACAGAATCAGCCAGCAAGCCACCAAATTCGGCGGCTGGCGGAATCAGCCATCAAACGTATCCTGTGGCTGGCGAAAAGAACTTAGTCCCCGAACTCTAGGATCTATAACAGTCGTTGCCGGCACCGGCTTTGCCGCATTGGATCAGGCACTTCGTGATGGATAATGACAAAACCTTTAATATTAAGACGTATCACTGCTGCATACTGCTACGGGATCCCTACGATCTCGGCCACACGGAGCAGCAGAGCAACATGGCTCCGTACCCAATCCGTCGTCCACCCTTGTTCTATGATGCGAAGCGTCCCCATCTTGACGATCACTGTGGGTGATATGAATTGGGTTGCCGCACTTCCACGGCAAGCAGGCGTTGCCAACAAGGCTCTACGACACTGACACGTTCCATGTGCTTCATTACAATTTTGTGAGAAATGCCTTGCACGTGACACTCCTTTTACATGGAGGCAAGCGGTCAACTTGGACCTGCTCAACCAGCATAATCGCCGCGCATTTTTTGCAGTTAGGCTGACCAAACCCATCCGATTGTATACTTCGTTCAGGTAGGCTACGTAACGGCTTGAAATGAACTCATGCGCCGGGTTGAACTAAAGAACTCCAAGGTTGGTTGCCATTTTATGGCAGACGCAGACAGCTGCATTTATGACGCGAATGCTGGCAAGCGCATGACTCTAAAAACACATGCCCTCAACTACGTGTGTAGGGTCTAAGTTCATTGCACTTGTGGGTGTTGGGAGTAAAAGGCTTAACTCTGTGTCCAGAAACGTTGAGATTAGACCCTTTAAACTTAATTAGCCCAGCTGGAGACCTCCAATAGCAAGATACAAACCGGGACCCAAAAAAACATCTGGAAACAGCTGCTGTTTTCAACGCATCGACCATCTCTTCCTTGGACACCATCATCACATAATCGGGACACCATCACAACATGACCGGAAAAAATGACCGGGACATCCCCTTTAAATTTCCCCCTGCAGATTAGTGCTACCTGGGTACTCCCGAGCACCCATTTTATAGCACTATAGAATTGAGACACTCAGGTTCCTTGATT